CCTGTCTCATTACACACCATTTTCTTTTTTTTTTAGAAATTTTTTTTTAATATTTATTTTTTAGTTTTTGGCGGACACAACATCTTTATTTGTATGTGGTGCTGAGGATCGAACCCGGGCCGCACACATGCCAGGCGAGCGCGCTACCGCTTGAGCCACATCCCCAGCCCCACACACCATTTTCCATCAGGTACTCAGTGTCCCAAAATTTTGTGCAGTTTCTTGGCTATACCATACTTACTATATTTCTATTGCTGCCTGCAGTGACTACTGCTCTTCCTGGTAAACTCTGGGGGCATGAATACCTGATAGAAAATGGTGTACAAGGAGGACTAAATCACACCTTTAGTTTTCCTCTTCTAGTAAGATGTATTCTGGCTTGTTGGCTGCTTCTGTACCTCATTTATCCCCACCACTGCCCATGTGAAGATCATTGGGTACTCCAGACCAAGTTTTATCTTCAGCTTAATAACAGAAACTGGCACAGAGTGAGAAGTGAATAAATATCTGTGGGATGAATAGATGAGTGAATAAATGAAGACAAGTGTTCTGTAGTGTGTTTTTCAGTTTAAATCTTCTTTGGGCCTCTGAGAATGCTAGTTATATGACTCCTACCATTTTTTGACCATAGCGTCCTACAAATCCAGGACCATGCACACTGGCTTATCCATTGCTAGACAGCTGCTTGAAACTGTCATTGAATAGCCTACCAAACAGTGAAAAAGGTCCTTCAGGGGTTTTGGACAGATCATTACCATCTCCCATCCTGTAGCCTCTACTGCCAAGATAAGCATCTACTGTGTTTCTTCAGAACTCTGATCAAGAGAAGAGATTGCACAGAATGAAAATGCTTCTTCCCTGATCTTCTAAACCAGAACACTTGTAAAATGAGGAAAATTGGTACTTGAATGGGTTCCTGTATCATTAGGCAGATCTTTGAATGATTCATCTACAAACTCAAGTAATTGATAAGGACAGTTATTGGTTATTTATTATCTTCAGTTAGTTTGTTTTATGGGTGCATTTTTGGTTCTAAATTATACATTTATCACCTTCTTTCCAGAGCCCCCTTTTACACATTTATATCAATTAGCAGTGAAAGTACACATAGAGAATTTATATGAACTTCGTCTGCCCTCCATCTCTTCTTGTTCCTTTTTCATGGATCTTAAATTTATGATCAGAAATCAGCATTTTAGTTTTAATTAGTTATAAACCTCTGCCTAAAATTGGTCATTTGAGATGATATACAATTTATTGCATTATTATTGAATATAGTTTACGTGTGGAAAAGGTATCTTTTTTAGCTGTGTATAAGTCAGTGAATTTTGATAAAATTTTATAGTTTGTAACCCCAACTGAAATCAAAATAATAGAATTTTCTGTCAACTCTGTGCTCCTTTGTAGTTACTATCCTCCCTGCATTGCCAGTCTGTGGCAACCACTGATTGATTTCTGTCCTTATTTTTTTCCATTTCTGGAATTTCATGCTACTTGGATCAAAGTTTGCAACCTTTTGAGTCCAGCTTATTTAACATAATATTTCTAAGAATAATCCATGGCATTGCATTTATACATTTTCTACCTTTAATTGTTGAGTAGAGTTCTACTATATGGATGTACTACAATTTGTGTATCCATTTACCAGTTGGAAGATATTTGGAATGTTTTCAGTTTTTGATGATCATGCATAAAGTTGCTATAAATACTTAAGTTTAGATTTTTGTGTAGACATATCTTTTTTTTTTTCTCTTAGGTAAATACATAGGAGTTTGATGGCTGGATTTTATGACAAGCGTGTTTATTACCCTTTTAAGAAATTGCCAAACTGTTTTTCAAAGTGACCATACCATTTTGATTCCTAATACCAACATATAAGGTTCTACTTGATCCGTATATTCACTGATATTGTTATTGTCTGTCTTTCAGTTTTTTAGCCCAGGGTTGGGGCAGTAGCTCAGTGGTAGAGTGTTTGCCTAACATGTAAGGCACTGGGTTTGATCCCTTGTTAAAAAAAAAAAAAAAAGCCAAGAAATGGCCTTTACACATGCTAAGAAAACACTGTGCCACTGAGCTATAGCCCCGGCCCACCAAGAAATTCTTATGGGCAGATAGGGAAATTTTATTCTGCATTTTTCCTAAAATGAATAATGAATTTGAGCAAGTATCTGTTAACATTGTTTTGATTGGCAGGGTTTTAAAAATTATATAGTTTTGAGGGTCTTTTAAAAATATCTGGATATCAGTCCTTCATCAATAAGTGTTTTGTAAATGTTTTTCCCAGTTTGTGACTTGTCTTTCCATTTTCAAATTAAAAATTTCAAAGAACAGAAGTTTTAAGCTTTGGATGAAGTTCTGTTTTTCAGGATTTTTTTTAATGGTTCATGATTTTTCTGTCCTATCTGAGAAACTATTGCCTGACCCAAGATCACAGAGATTTAATTTTTTCCCTGGAAGTTTTATAACGTTAGGGTTTACATTTCAGTCTATGACCCTTTTAAAGTTTTTATATATAGTGTGATATATGGATTGAAGTTCATTTTTTAAATACACATATACCCAGTTATTCCAGCATTATTTGTTGAAAAGACTAAAAAGATTACCTTTTGTCTATTGAATTAACTTGACACTGTAAAAAATTAATTGACCATATAAGTGTGGATCAATTGCTGGACTCTAGTCTGTTCCATTGATCTGTGTTTATCCTTTTGCCAATACCATACTATCTTGAATATTGTAGTTTATAGAATAGTTTGTTTGGGATCTAACCCAGGGGTCCTTTACTACTGAAATACATCCCCAACCCTTTTTACTTTTTATTTTGAGGCAGGGTTGCACTAAGTTGCTAAGGTTCTTGGTTAGTTACTGAGGCTGGCCTTGAACTTGCCATTCTCCTATCTCAGCCTCCTCAGTCCCTGGGATAACAGGCTTGAGCCACTGAACCCAGTTTATAGTATGCTTTGAAATTAATTGCCATGAATACTCCCAACTTTATTTTTCTTCTGCAAAATTGTTTGGGTCATTCTGCTTTTCCATATAACTTTTAGAATCATCTGGCAAATTTCTTTTAAAAGCCTTCTGTGATTTTATTTGGGGTGAATTAGATCCTGTATATCAATTTGGGGGAGAATTAACATACAGTAGTCGTAACTGGGCATGGTGGTGCATACCTGTAATCCCAGTGGCTCAGGAGGCTGATGCAGGAAGATTGTGAGTTCAGAGCCAGCTTCAGCAATAGCAAATGCGCTAAGCAACTCAGATCCTATCTCTAAATAAAATACAAAATAGGGCTGGGGATGTGGCTCAGTGGTTCGGTGGTCAAGTGCCCTGAGCTCAATCACTGGTACCCCCTCCCAAATACAGTAGTCCCCCTTAATCCACAAGAGATACATTCTAAGAAGAAACCACAGGTAGTACTCAACCGTATACATATCTATGCTTTTTCTTGTACATACATGTACCTGTGATAAAGTTTAATTTATAAGTTAGGTACAATATGAGATTAACAACAACAATAATAAAATAGAGCAATTAAAACAATAGATTATAATAAAAGTTATGCAAATGTGGTCCTTCTCTCAAAATATTGTACTGTACTCACATTATTCTTCTGGTAATGTGAGATGATACCATGTGTATGAAATGAGATGAAGTGAGATAAATGACAAAGGCATTGTGACAACATTAGGCTATCATTGACTTTCTTGCTGATACCTCAGAAGAAGGATGGATTATCAAGTCATGACCATGCCTTAACCATGGATAACTGAAACAACAGAAAGAGAAACCATGAATGAGGGGAGACAACTATATTTATGATATTGAGTCCTCAAATCCACGAACAAAGTATATCTCTCTGTTTAGGTCTTTCATATCTCTCATCAGTATTTTTCATACATCCTAACAATACATTGTTAGATTGAATCCTGAGTATTGTATGCTTCTTTAAAAAATTTAATTCCTCATTTGTTCACTGCCATATAAAAAAATAATTGATTTTTATTTTTCATTTTAATTTTATTGGTACCACGGATTGAACCCAGGGGCACATAGCTATTGAGCCACATCCCCAGCCCTCTTTATTTATTTATTTTATTTTGAGACAGGCTCTTGCAAATTTGCTTAGTGCCTCACTAAGTTGCTAAGGTTGGCTTTGAACTTGGAGTCCTCCTGCCTCAGCCTCTTGAGCCTCTGGAATTATATAGGTGTGTGCCACCATGCCTGGCTATTATTTTTTTTTTTTTTTTTGAGAGAGAGGTGGGGGGAGAGGAGAGAAAGAGACAGAATTTTAATATTTATTTTTTAGTTTTTGGCGGACACAACATCTTTGTTTGTATGTGGTGCTGAGGATCGAATCCGGGCCGCACGCATGCCAGGCAAGCGTGCTACCTCTTGAGCCACATCCCAGCCTCTGGCTATTAATTTTTATATATTGATTTTATATTCTCCTACTTTGATAAGGTCAGTAATTAGGTCTATTAGTTTTTGGAGATTCTTTTGTGGACTGTCTATATTGATAATTATGTTTTCTATGAATAAACAGTTTTGCTCCTCTCTAATCTATATAAATATTTATTTCTTTTCTGTAATTTACATTTTAGCTAGGACTTCTGTCCTGGTTAATGTTGGATTGGAGTGGGAAGAGTGAATTCCTTGTGTATGAATGGGTTCTTTGCCTGTTCCTAATCTTAGTGGGGAATCATTTAGTCTTTCACCAGTAGATACTAATTAGCCATAGGTTTTTCATAGATACCCTTTATCAGACTGAAGAAGTTCCCTTCAATTTCTAGTTATTTGTGGGTGTGTGTATGTGTGTTTAATCATGAATGTCTGCTGCATATATCACACACCTTTTCTGCAACTTATAGATATACACAATTTTTTTTGGTTAGGCTGTTGATAGTGTGGGTGGTATTGTGTTTATGAGTGTTGGATCTACCTTGCATTCCTAGACTAAATTATATGTGACTAATATATATTATTCTGTTGTATTTTATGGGCAGAAATTTTGGATAGATGCCATGAAGTAGATAGCAATTCCTTAACCATGTGTTTGTTGCATAGGTCATATTCTCTTCCATCTTATTTAGGGAAAGTGCTCATCTTCTTGCCTGTCATGTAATATACTTTTGCTTCATCTTCATTTGATCTTTAGGTCATCAAAAAAGAGCCAGGGAGAAGGTTACAAAGATAGTGTATAATATGCAGTGTATACATTTATTTCATTTATTAATGGGAAATTGAGGTGCATCAGGTAATTTGTACCACCCAAGTCTTGAAGTTAGTAAAAGGCAGAGTTAGTATTTAAGTTTCAGACTTTTTGGAAAAAAATCTAGTATTAATCCACTTTATACTGTTTTCTTTCTCTGAAAGTGAGTAAGTGGATGTATGTGTGCATTTGTGTGTGTGTGTGTGTGTGTGTGTGTGTGTGTATGTAACAGAGAAAGACAGATTTGGAAAGAGAAACAGTTTTATAGATTGCCATCTATGCATCTGGGCTTTTAGATACCTTTGGAAATCAGCTATGATATTTACTTGTGACACATTTGTGTCTCTGGTCTACATTTGTAAAAATTGAAATGTAAAATATTAACATGGGGTTGTTTGCTTTATACATCCAGTATGCTCAATATAATAGTGTTTTACTATCATTATTGATTTTCTACCATTAAATGCATTTGATAACTGTAAATAATTAATTTGGGTTTTTGAAAAATGTCAAATGAAACTTAGAATGATTTTAATAGTTGTTCACGTCTTTTGCTGATATAGTGTAGACCAAGTTACCTTATATAAAAATATACAGTTTTCTCTACTTTTCATTCTCCTTTTTCCAAGTGAGAGCACCACTGGTATATTTACTAAATGTGTTTGAAAGATCTTAAAAAACACTACTGAGTGCTTTGGGCCTTGGCCCATAGGAGTGGAGATGCCATTTTAGTCCCTTAGTCATGTAGATCTGATAGTTTTTGACTTTTGAGACTATCTTCTCTAACAGACACAAACCACTTCAGGCTGTGTTGAGGTAATGATTGTTTTTTCCAGTAAAGTTATTTTGGTTATCATAAGTAGGGTCCAAGAGCTTTTATGTGTTTCCTCAGTCAGGGAGGTAGGAATGGAAAACAAAAAAGGCTGATTCTTAGAAAGTGCATCACACTAACAATAAATTACCCTTTAGAGCATAGGACAGTTCAGGATAGTTGTTGTTAGCTCGAGCTCTATCAACTGATACCCTTGTGGGAATTGATTCCCATGATTATTTGATTTCATGGTGGTACCCTTCCAATCAAAGATGTGTTGCTTGGCATATGAAAATCAATTATAAGCCAGGTGTGATGGCGTGCACCTATAATCCCAGGGGCTCAGGAGGCAGAGGTAGGAGGATTGCAAGTTCAAAGCCAGCCTCAGCAAAAGCCAAGTGCTGAGCAGCTCAGACCCTGTTTCTAAATAAAATATAAAATAGGAATGAGGATATGACTCAGTGGTCTAGTGCCCCTGAGTTCAATCCCCAGTACTCCTCCCCCGCAAAAAAATCAGTTGTATTTGGAGAATTTTTTTATGATAATTGTATTTAATTTTATCTACTAATGATGAGAGACAGTTCCAATAAAACTGTTTTTCAGCTTTTTCACGGAAGAACAATTTTAGAGGAAAAGCTTGTTCAGGAGTTAGGTTCAGAGGTCTCAGCTCCATTCTTTAGGCTTGAAGTGAGGGAGAACATGGAAAATTTTTGAATAATATCACTATCCCTTGATGTGGAAAATCAGAATTAATCAGTCTTTATTTGGAGTATGTTTCTTCTAGCCCTGAAGCTCTTATGTAATATGTTAAGCTTCAAGTTCAAACTGGTTAATAATGACCTTAATAAGCTGATGTTGAAGTGAATGTGATAAGAAAGTTATGTTGATCATATTTGTTCAGCAATCCAGATGTCTTTGTGTTAGGATGATATTTGGTTTTGATCTTTTGGATTTGTACCCCCCTCCCCCAGTGATATATTCAGATGATGAAGTGTGATATAAATTGTGACATAACTTTGTAACATTTATTTTACTGTTTTCAAAGCATATTGGCCACATCTCTCATTTACTTTTTACTTTACTTGGTACATTAGTTGAGGTTAGGTCTTATTTCCATTTTATGGTGAGAAAAATAGACCTCAAAGATAAGTGTTTTTTTCACATCACCATTAGATATTGAAAGAGTATTCAGAACTTGATTTTGTCTTTTGCCCATTGCCCTCTGATCATTGAGCCGGATCTGGCTCTCTAAACTTCATCTATCTGGTAAACATTCAAAAACTAATGTGTAATGAGCACCCTTGTCCCCACAGTTAGGATCAACAGATGTGATTAGATGTTCATCTTCAGAGGAGTTTGTGAAATAACTAGTTGGCAAGAGACAAAATTTTGGGAGTAATTTCTACCTTTCATATGTGTAACTGTCATTTTCTAGATTGACTAGATGGATGTTTCCAGTGTCCAAGTGGCCATGTCCAAAGGCTGTTAATTAAATTTTAATAAACTATTGGGCAGTGTGGTGAGGCCCAGCCTTGTAGATTTAGTGGGGCTTCTTGAGGAGTTACTTTGTTAAACACAGGGGAATAAGGATTAAAATGAAACAAATAAAAATATGATTTGATTAGAATCTCACAAGCTAGCAAACTAGATGAAAGAATTTACAGAGATGCTTCTGATTTTGGCTTCATCTGGTTCTTCCTCCATTACACCAGTACAACAGTTTTTTGAACACATGCCTGAAACTTTCTGGTGGCTTTCTATTTCTTATAGAATCGAATACCCTTTCTTATCAGGACATACAGGGTGTTCTCTGATTTGACCCAGCTTCCTCTTGCATGCTCACATCTCCATAGAGTGCTCCAGGCACATGACCCTCTCCTTGAAGTGCTCAAAGGTGGCCATAATTTTTTATACCTCTAGTGTTTACTTATGCTAAGCTGCTTTTCTAGAATGACATATTAGTCTGGATCATCTGGAAAAGAGATACTCAGGATTAACCTGGCACAGAATCATTGGGGAAAAATGCCCGTGGAAGAGACAGTGGTGAGGGACTGGGAATAGTGGGAGTGCCATCAGTTCATGATGCAAGTCTGACCCCTAGTGAAGGGGACAGAGAGGTAGTTAGGTAGAAAGGTTTTAGACTTCTGTTTAGACTGCTGTGCAGTCTAGGGAACGGTTCAGCAAAGCTGTGAGTGAGTTGAGAGTCATCTGTCAGTGGTGTCCTGTATCCTCCAGGAGCAGTTCTTAGTATTCCTGTTTTTTTGAGTGATTGACTTGAAGGCACCCCATTGTAGGTTTGATCGTCACAAACACTAGGATGAATTTCTGATGCAGATAAGGTCCTTGATCAGTTGTGTTCTTAGTAGTCAAAAGCCTTAAAGTTGCGTCTTCTTGGTTGTCATAAATGCCTTTTCTTCTTCCATTTGATTCTTTCTACCTTTCCTTCAACTTTAAAAGTTTCTTCTGTCAGAAAACTTCCTTGAAGGATAATCTCAGAATGTCCATGATAATTATACTACCTACATTGGTCACCCCTAATCTTTGCCTGGAAAATTCCTCGTATATTTGAATTGTACATCTACCACTTATTACAGGACCAGACATCTGGTAGATGCTTAGGAAATATTTGTTGAAATAATGCATGGGAAGGATGTAGGTAGATCTAGGGAGAAAGATAAGTGAGGCAAAGTGAACTGCTTGAACATGACCATAGATGGAGAAGAATGAAGGATTTATTTTGTATTTAAGAAATATGTCTTTTCCTAGTGGAAATCCACATATAGTAGAATGAAATTCAACCCCTCTCACCCTGCATAAAACTTAAGTGGATCAAAAACCTAGGAATTAGACCAGAAAACCTGCACCTACTGTAAGAAAATGCAGGCCCAACACTCCAACATATCATCTTAGGAATCAACTTATTTAATAAGACTCCTAAAGCATAAGAAGTAAAATAAACCAGTAAGTGGGTTTGTATCAAACTAAAAAGCTTCTTCATGGCAAAGGAAACAATCAAGAACATGAACAGAGATTCTATAGAATGGCAGAAAATCTTTGCCAGCCGCACCTCAGATACGGAGTTAATTATCAAGATTGATACAAAGAACTCAAAAAGCTTTAACACCCCCCCAAAAAAAAAGAAAGAAAGAAAGAAAGAAAAACCCAATCAAAAAACGGGCAAAGGATGGGGCTGGGTTTGTGGCTTAGAGGTAGAGCGCTCACCTGGCATGCGTGAGTCAGTGGGTTTTATCCTCAGTACCACATAAAAATAAAATAAAGATATTGTGTCCATCTATAACTAAAAAATAAATTAAAAAAAAATGGGCAAAGGAACTAATCAGATACTTCTCAAGAGAAGGCATATAAATGGTCAACAAATCTATGAAAAATGTTCAAAATCTCTAGCAATTAGAGAAATGCAAATTAAAACTACACTGAGGTTTCATCTCACTCCAGTGAGAATGGCAATTATCAAGAATACAAGTAAATAATAAATGTTGGTGAGAATGTGGGAAAAGGGTGTGCTCATACATGCTGGTGGGACTGCAAATTGGTATAACCATTCTGGAAAGCAGTATGGAGATTCCTCAAAGAACTAGGAATGGAACCACCATTTGATAGTTACCTCACTCCTCAATATATATATATATATCCAAAGGAGTTAAAATCAGCATACTATAGTGACACAGCTACATCAATGTTTATGGCAACATAGTTCACAGTAGCCAAGCCTTGGAACCACCCTAGATGCCCTTGAACAGATGAATGAATTAAAAAATTGTGGAATACTACTCAGCCATAAAGAACAATGACTTTATGACATTTGATAGCAAATGGGTGGCTCTGGAGACTATTGTGCTAAGTGAAATAAACCAATCCCAAAAAACCAAAGGTTGGATGTTCACTCTGATATATGAATGCTAATCCACATTAAGGGGTGGGAAGAGGATGAATAGAAGTACAGTAGATTAAATATAGGGGAATGAAGGGAGGAAAAGGGGAATGGGTAAAGGAAAGACAGTGGAATGAATTTGACATATCTTTCCTATATACATATATGAATACAACACAGTGAATCTCACCATCATATACATATGCAAAACTG